TGGTTAGCAGTCAAATGCCTTAGGCACTATGCTACCAGAGCTCCCTTAGTCATTTAAAACCAGCTCTGAAATCTAGACTAACGTAACTACTGAAAACCTACTTTACTTTGTCAAATGAGTAATATAAGATAAAATTTTAAATTCTAATTTTAAGTTAGATTCCTTGATAAAAAATCTTAAAAGACAAGTTAAATGACCTTACAGTCACATCAGGACAGGTGAACTCTTCAAGGCAAGTATTTATTTTTTCATACAGGTGGGGCATTAATCCTTGGCAATGTTGTTATACCATTTTGCCACTAGATGACACTGTTGTACATGTGTTTTTTTATTTTCACAGAACACAAATCGTAACTTCCTTAGGCCAATTCTTTCCAACAAAAAATCAAATTTTGAATTTGAATGGGAACACAACATATTAAAGTGTTAACAGAAAGACTAGACACTGACAGCCACATTCACCATGTGGGCATTTCTAATAGGAAGTCAGTCACTTCAAGTGTAAGTACATGTTGCTTAATGGCCACAATAATCTGTGAAATAAGACATTATGTAATTTGGACGTTGTGTGAACACCATATTATATACATGGTAAACAGACATGTCTAAATTGCAAGCAACAGCATTCAATGACTTTTGTGTCATTCAATAATCTTTTATTTCACTTCCAAATTGATAACTTCACCTTTGTTTCTTGCTGCTATCACTAGCACTGATTTTGTGTTTGGGATCCATGATGCACTTCACAGTAATATTTCTGAAAGAAAATGAAACAGAGATAACACTACAATACTCAAAAGACACATGATACACAAGATTAGATGCTGCTACCTAGAGTCGAAGCATACACTGTTACACGGTTAACTTTTTATTTGTAAGGTAGGAGAAAGTTCACATTAAACTAGCAATGGAAAGTATAGTACATATATAAGCCAGTAACGTAAGTATTTATTATGACTATTAAAACATATTATTATAGGTTATAGATGTACCATCCCATTATATACTTGGCATCACAATCACCTTCTATACAAAGACATGAGATACACAGGTTGTGTGTAAGAAGCTGTTAGTTCATCACATCTGGTTATGTCCATCTGTTTATATCCACTATGCCCTATTCTCTGATTGAGATCTCTGACCTCTATTATAACCTAATGGGACCAGAGATGTATATGCAGTTGGGCACTGCCCGAACGGACATCATGCAGTGTATGTATGAATATATTCCAAAGCTGTCCTCCCTCCTACTCGATGCCTTGCAATGATCTGATCCCAAAGATTCCTTCCTTAATGCTAAAAACAGTCCCACTTGGTTAGGCTTACAAGAATAAACCATGACAGTCAAAGAAAAATCAGCTCCAAAAGGTGAGATCAAGGTTTTAAAAATACTTTGCAGCTACTTCAAAATTAATACTAATGAAACACAAAGTTAGCATTTCACTTAGAAACAGGATCAGACAAACAAAAAACATTCATTCACTACCTCATCTTTTAAAAATTCTTTGCTCAAGGAACTTCATGTAACCACATGTGCCATTATTCAGGTCGGCACTATTAAGAGTCATCTGGTTCCTGAAACAACTACTGCTGCTTCTTCAGGAGTACTTGACCATTGGTCCTTTCAGGCTGACTGTTTTTTGCTTCTGGTTGTGCAAAGTTCCAATCCACTGGACTGAGCAGTTGTTGAGTCTTCTTATTGGTCCAATATGGATTAATTATTAGTGTAAGGAGGGCCAATCCAGTAAGGAAGAGCAAAAAATGAGGCAGATAAAGACTGTTGATCAAACCATCCCAGTGCCAAAAACATACCCACCACATGTGGTAGGTTAAAATCATGCGGCAATGAAACATGTGAATCATTAGCCACTGATTTAGCTTCCAAAATAGAGAATCCGACCATCCGGCCTAGAGGGGAGACAAAATAAATACAGAATTCAGTACAAAACTGCCAAAACTTTTTTTTTTTTTAATTGTGATAAATATACATGTAACCAAGCATTTCCCATTTCAACATTCTTCACATGTGCAGTTCAGTGACATTATCTCATGTTGTTCAACCATCACCCTATCTGTTCCTCTATTTTTCCATTGTCAAAACTCGTAACATTTAAAAAAGATTTTAACTACCATAATTCATTGAATGTAACATGTCCATCTAAAAGCACAGAATTTTCTTGCCAAGGCTTTCCTTTCACTGGGACTGTGACATTCTAGTAAATCCCACTCCTGATGCTAACTACAAAGATGATAACATAAATCAAATTCTCACTTTTCACTTCTGTGACACCAGCTGCAACATGCAGTTCTCTGACTACATGTAGGAGGCACTCAGAGCTAGGTCAGATCTCACAAGTTAAAAGGACACCATTCTTCAAATTGCCAGTCAGATGCCAGCCACAAGTTGGGACTTTCCTCTGTACTCCCTCCTTTCTGACCCACTGGCTCCTACTATTCCTTTGGGTTTGATAATTCACTTGAACAACACAGAGCTCACAGAAAGCACTATATTTATGATTACAGATTTACTGTAGGAAAAAGGATACAAATGAAGAGATAGAGAGGCATAGGACGAGGTCTGGGAAGGTTCTGATGCGGCGCTTCCATGTCTCAAAAAGGGAAGTACTACATTCTCAGGTACATATTGTCTTTCACCAACCAGGAAGTGCATGGTGCTTCTCATCACAGTTTTTATTGGGAGTCTCACTCCCTAATACAAGGAGCTCTGGTGGTGCAATGGTTAAAAGCATTTAGCTGCTAACAGCTGTTTGAATCCACCAGCCACTCTGTGAGAGCAAGATGTGGCAGTCTGCTTCTGTAACAATTTACAGCCTTGGAAACCCTAAGGGACAATTCCACTCTGTCCTACAGGTCGCTGAGTTAGAATCGACTTGCTGGCAGTGGCAGTGGAATTTCATAACATAAACTCCAGTCCTTCTTCCCTGAGGTCAGGTGGTATCATGAGGTTATCTTTCTGGCCTGACCAGCCACTCTTCCTTGAGTTCCATCAATATCACCATGCGATCGTGAAGTATTACATGTGGGTCTTTTTAGCCTATCCAGTTCCCACCTAAGTCAATTCATCACATCACCTAACCTCTTAGTTAGGTATGGGCTGAAGTCCTTATGGAAGACACTTAAAATTCCAGGGTTCTATGGGGTCACTTCTCAGGAACCAAGGATAAAGACCAAGTCATTTTAGGTAAAGCTAAATTTTTTATCATACAGAGGCTTACATCTGAAAGAAGACCATCATTTCTGTTTTAGAGTATGTGTATTAATCGATGGCTTGAGACTTGCTTGCTATTCACTTATTCATTTTGCTCTTCTTGATTTTTGCTCCCTAGTTGGGTCAATATATTTTTTTACTGTGAGTTTTCACATAATGAGTAAACAAGCAATGTTCATTTGTTTACTGAAAGGGGAGGACATGTACAAGTCCTGTTACACCCAGTTCCCATACGGTGACTCTGGAAAAAGAGATGTTTAAGATGAGATACACTTCCTGCCTGCTCTCCTCCCCCCACCCCAGTGGCCCTTGGATACAAGCCAAAATGAACTTGCCTTAAAAATTCTTGTAAATTTGTATTAAAACTAATTTCCAGAATCATAACTACAATGGAATAGAAAACATGAAGCTGCTTCAGCTACAAATAACTCAGTGGAGACACGAAGACAGGGACCTAACATTGTACTAGACAGTACAGTTCAAACCAGTTAGTTTCCAACACAATACTCTCCCTCTAATTTCCTCACTCTGCCCAAACTCAAGCTGCGAAGATCTCCTTCAACAGTTCTACGTTATAGCATGTCATTTTCTAGGATGGGGATACTTTCTTGCATTTAGAGAAGGAAATGTTAAGTCTTTTAGGTAGTTAGGAATAAAAGGGACACTGGGAAGTAATGACTTTCTTAAGATCAAGCAAGGTAAAGCTAAGGGCTACTAGGTGGGATGAACCACCATACTCCTCCCAAATCATCTCTGCATTTTGTTCAATTTAACAAATTCTGGTCTTCATTTAAAGGAGCTCTGGTGGTGTAGTGGTTAAGGCATTAGGCTGCTAACCAAAAGGTCAGCAGTTGGAACTCACCAGACGCTCTATGGAGGAAAGATGAGACAGTCTGCTTTTACAAAGATTTATAGCCTTGGAAACCTAATGGGGGTCACTATAAGTTGGAATCGACTCAATGGCAGTAAGTTTGGTGTTTTGTTTTGCTTTTTGGTCTTCATTTAGGAGCGCTGGAGCACAGTGGTTAAAGCATTAGGTTGTTAACCAAAAGGTTGGTGGTTCAAACCCACCAGCAGTGCCACAGGTGAAAGATGAGGCAGTCTGCTTCTATAAAGATTTACAGCCTTGGACACCCTATGGGGAAGTTCAACTCTCCTATATGGTCGCTATGAGTCTCACTGACTTAAAGGCAGTGGATTTGGTTTTGGTTTGGTCATTTCATTTGTTTTTGTGTGCCATGGAGTTAGACCCGACTCACAGCAACCCCTCCTTGGGTTTCCGAGGTGGTATCACTATGGAAGTAGATTGCCCAATCTTCCTTCCGAGGAGTGGCTGATGGGTTTGAACCGCCAGCCTTCTGGTTAGCAGTCAAGTGCCTTAGGCACTATGCTACCAGAGCTCCTTCATTTCATTTAATCATTCCCTAAACATTCATAAGAATTCTTTTCCATTATTTTCCCCACTTACTAAGTCTCCTTAAACTGTTCATATTCACAATAGAAACATTAATTTTTACGTATCTAATGACATGAAGTTTTAGAAACTCAAAGCTTATAAAGTTCTTTAGTCTTACTCAGGCACTCCAATTTTTATATTCAGATGTTACTAAGTGTTTTGAGAAAAGGTAGGATACAGTAACAAAATTTGCAACATAATATATGCAAAGATTTTTATGCTTTGTGTATTTTTAGCTCTGAATTTCAACAGTTAGTACTCACGTTACATATGTAAAAATATTTATATAAATTGATGGTGTTTTACAGCATCTCATTTGTGTTATGGATTAGTGATTTTGTGGATGAATTATGTTTAGATGTTTGGGACCCAAGTAATTAATTTATTATATTTCTACATAACACTTCAGAATCAATCTGAGAAAGAAATAATAAGCTACTTGCATTTGAAGTATAAACCCATGTTAAATTAGTAGTGATTTTATGTTCTGATTTACATTTAGTATCTTATCAATTTAGAGCTTGATGGTGGGTGGATTCTTTGGATTCAGATGTTCAACCAGGCAAGAATTTGACAGCTTTATTAAAAGCTTGAAAGGATTTCAGTATTTTAGACACAATTGTTACTTATAACACTTAGTATCTGAGCTAGAGCAAGAAATAAAACTATCTAGAAATGCAGACTCAGCTATATTAATTTTTTGGTGGGTTTTTGTTTTGGTTCAACAATGGGTTCAAACACAACAATGGTTGTGAGGATGGTGTACGACTGGGCAATGTTTCATTCTGTTGTACAAAGAATTGTGAGTCAGACCTGACTCCACATCACCTAATAACAACTACTACAGTCTCTGTAGCACTGTTGGCTTTAGAAAGTTAATTAACATAATTACTGGGGTAAGGCACAATGACTTGGATAACCTTCTTCCACTCTGTACAAACAGCATCCTAATAACTTTAGAGAATATGCTATCCCAAAATAAGGTCTCTAACTTTAGGAGTAATTACACTACCTGGAGTCTGTCTTCTTCCACAAAGGTCGTGGGGGTCTAAAAGGAGGCCCACCCTCATCATCACACCTCATGGAAGAATGCAGGTAACAACTCCATCGGTCTCTGCTTCCTTCTACTCTGACTCTACTAGTCCAGCAGGAGGTCCTACCTCCACATTTGGCTCTAAAAGAGCACACAGGAAGTCTGGAGAAACCTACATATAGCTATTCAACACTGACTACCCTTGAGGAGTGTAAGAGAAGTAAGAAAGATTTCTGTTCCTTTTTTTTTCCCCCTTAAAGAACTTCCTGCAAAATAACCTATTTTCTCAAAACAAATTATCCAAAATATGTCACTTTTCTTAGTTTTAGTTTTGAATCATTATTGACAGTGATGGGTTCACATTTATTTAGCACATTAATGAGGTACCAAAGCGTCTTTTCTCCAGTATGAACTGCTTCATACCACAGCTGACTGTAAAAATGCTTGCTACTGTGTTCAGTGCCAGAGTCCCCAAATCCTCAAGAAGGTTCCACTTTTATGGTAAGGGCACTTACAAAGAGAAAACTGGAAAACTGTGATATGAGCTACAATCAGACATGTGCACAAGATAGTTACAGGAGTACAGGTCACTGCATCTTATCTAAAATGATCCCTACACATACTAGGAGCTTTAAATAGCACTCTTTTTTTTTCCCTCCAGCACAGAAATTCAAAGGACAGCTGGGCCAATGAAGTGATCCTTTCAATCCATTAATGGTTTCCAATTATGCTTCTTCCCTGCATAAGGTTTACCTAAATCACTTCTGCCCTCAAGCACCTCACACCATCCCCTTAAGCACACATTCATGATGCTCTTCTCCAGGTTCTTGTCTAACTTGTTGCTCATATAGTTAGCTCTTTTTTTTTTTTCTTCATGGTCATGCTATAATAAAGCTTTATACTGGTAATGACATTTGCTAAACAAAGCCTCATTTTGTTCCTCCGCAGGCCACATAGGTTTCCATAGGGGACCCCATGACACTCTGCACACAGATTATGGTATTACCTCCTTGTATTCTAGTACTACACTGAAACGGCCCTGGGGGATAGTACCAGTGCTTTTTTCAGGTCCTAGCACATGGTATAGAAGATAAGGCATTTGGTTGCTAACCAGAAGGTGAGAGGCTCAAACCCACCAGCTGTTTTGTGGGAAGAAGATGGGACAATCTACTTCTATAAAGATTTACCACGTTGGAAACCAAGTGCAGATTGGTATGACTGGGAATCGACTCAATGGAAGTGAGTGAGTAAGCACAGTGCCTGATACATGACAGGTATTCAGTAAATGTTTGTTATATATGACTCCAAACTAAACATAACTCATTGCCATTGAGTAAATTCTGACTCACAGTGACCCCCACTGGGTTACCAAGGCTATAAATTTTTATGGAAGCAGACTGCTACATCTTTCTTGTGCAGATGGCTTGTGGGTCTGAACCACCAACCTTCTGGTTAGCAGCCAAATGCCTTAACCACTACACTACCAGAGCTCCTTTATATAAGAATACACTGTACCATTTACATTGTCAATTCACTTTTAATGTGCAAAGGCAGGAATGATAAGCTGTAATTTTATTTCCTCTCAAAGCTTACCACAGTGTTCTATACACAAGAAATACTAAACAATATAACCACTTTGTTGTGACTACATTAAAAATTAACAACAAAAAAAGTATTTCTTGGAGTGGAATCTATATAGGAGATCTTGGATAGAGTGGGACACAATGTGGAACAACAAGCAAAATCACTAAAAAAAAAAAAGGGACCAGGTTTGCTGGTCTGGTAGAGCCAGGTGGATCCCCTGAGACTATGGCCCCTAGATGCCCTCTTCAGGACTGGAATTGAACCCATTCCTGTGGCTTCCAGCCAAATAAAAGACAGGCATATGAGTTGAACATTTACATTAGGTAGACACACTCTTTGGAGAAGTCAATCATGGGAGAATAGAAAGGCTGCGTATGCACAGAGACAGCTTGGGGGGCAGGAGTGCATGAGAAGAAAGGACACAGGGAAGAGGTAACTATGGGCAGGAAGTGGGAAGAGAGCTACTATACTGTTGGAAATTGCAGTCAATGTTATGAGACAAAGTGTATGTGAACTGTTATATGGAAAATGAATCTGCTCTGTAAACTTTCACCCAAACCACAATAAAAATTAAAAACAAAAAAAAAGTATTTTAAGTTTCATATAAAATATCCCATGAACAAAATAATGTATTATATAAAAGGTGGCAAAAATCTACATCACAAAAATATCTTTCTTAAAAAAGAGTTTACCATGGAGAGTATTTTAGTATCATAATGAGAATAAAGATTGCATATGAAAGATATACATTTTTAAAAAATCGTCTTAGGAGCAAACAATAAGTAAATGTCACCAAACATATTGAGCAAATAGCTATTCTGGTCCCCAATTCTTCCAATCACTAGTAAAACAGCCTTAATAAAAAACAAAGGAAAAAAAGAGATGTATGTATTCCTATATATTACTTAAGACTTTTTTTTTAACAAAAAAAAAAAAAACATTAGAAAGAAAGAAAAATCATGTTTTCTAGGGCTTACAAACACAACTATTAAATTACAAGATCCACTGAGTTTCCCTTTATGGAGCTTTACAAAGCCTAAAGATTTGTTTAAAATAAGTAAAATGGAGTTCAATCAAATTGTGTTCATTAGTGAATCTGTATGCTATAATTTAGTCTGCTGATGAAATTACAGCATGGTCCACAATGAAATTCTAATCATTCACACAGACATTAAATGAATACTCAGCTCTTCAACTTCTGCTGACAACTTCAAAAATAGCAAATGAACCCTATATTTTATAAGAAATACTTACCTTTAAGAGCATCCAGGAGATGCAAGTGAAGGGAGTGCTCATCTCCAAGAGCAATGTGATCATAGCTAGATAGTGGCCAGCTTTGAGATTGATCAATGAACCAAGAAATCCAAGAAAGGCAAAGAGATGGTGGACAACCAAAAACAAATCAAACGTCCAGAAAAAAAAGTTGGACAGGTGAACAGCTACATTTTCAAAGAAAAAGAATCCAGTTGCTGTTGCAACATTAAACCAGCACCAGTTCTGCTGGTTATGTGCTTTATCAGCATGAAGAACAGGGTCTACCAGCAAAGCCCACAGACCCGCAACAGTACTCTGAACACCAAAGACGGCACGAGTGGCTGCAAGGTTCCAGAAAACCTTTTCTTTGGCCACTAAAGAGCGATAAGTGGCATTCAAAGAAGAAGACAGCTGGTGGCAAACAACAAAGACACCCAGGTAAAAGAAAAAACCAGCTACTGCTAGTGTTAATCGAATTTTCCATGAAGCATAGTCCAAATCAAAAATGCTCTCAGATGTGGCTCCATCGCTTTCAAGATTCATTATCCCAAATTTTTAGCAAAAGTGTCTTGGGGTAAATGGAAAACTTCCAAGCCTTATACTGGGTCTTATCCAAGAAAATGAAGTCAAGGAAATTGTTTCTATGATCTTCATTCATTTGTCTTCAATCTGAAGAAAGAAAAGAAAATTTACTTCATGATGAGTAACAGAAGCAGAAGAGGCAGGAATGTTACTAACACATCACTATCTCAGTACCAAAAAATCATTATAATAAAAATACAAAGTTGGTAGGTGCCATCAAGTTGATTTTGACTCACACTGACAACATGTGACAGAGCAGAACTGCCCCATAGGGTTTTCTAGGCTGTAATCTTTATGAGAACAGATCAGCAGGTATTTCTCCTGCAAAGCTGCTTGGTTGGGTTTAAACAATCAACCTTTCGGTTAGCAGCCAAACGCTTAAGCATTTGACTGCTAACCAGAAGGTGGGCAGTTCAAATCCACCAGCGGCCCTTCCACAGAAAGAATATGGGGCAATCTACTTCCATAAAGATTTACTGCCTTGGAAATCTAATGGGGGTT